ATACTTGCATTTTTAATCATACAATATTACACCTCCCTTTGAAATACAGGTCAATAATAAAACTTTCACACACCAGTCGTCATATGAACGTTATTTTTGCAGGCATCCTTTTCCAGAAAAGCTGAAATGAATAAAATGTATCCAAACTCTTCAGTTCCATCCTCCCGTGGGGTCCAGAGAAGTTTTCCTCTGAGCTTCATAAATAGTAAATTTACATGTTGACACATTTCATTTTCATTAAAACCGTCAACATTGCAAGCTAGACAGCTACAAATGCTTAGGATCACAAAATTGCACACTTTTATTTTTCCCTGTTGGAAAAGCCAGCAGCCAGGCTTGCTTGACACCTTATCATAGTGGTTAATAATCACTTGCCATTTTCTAGAGAAATTGCCTTCAGCCCTGAAATCTTTGACATCAAATATTATCTAAAAGATTGTATGTTGAAATTCTTCATGAAAAATGGCTTCTCACAACACAATGACAGTTGCTGAAATCTAGAAAGCATTACCAACTAACACAGCAAACATGATGCAGGAATAAGATTTTGTTTATGATGCACCACGTTTTTCCAGTCATTAGAAGGAGCATCCTAGATCTCTTATTCAACAGAACAATCTCTAACACTTCCAGAGATTGAAGATTACAGATCTTAAATCCTTATCTCTAGCAATATCTTGCATGTCTCTTCATTTTCACAAGGTTAATATTCTTATCACTTGAATTCCTGAAATACTACTGGAATAACTTTTTTTTTTTTCTACATTTCTATGCAGCCACAGCTCTTCATTTCCTAGCTCTGAATTCAGAAAACAGAATATATTTCCAGGAGTTGTTTAGGATTATTAGCTTTACTTTTTCTGTTTTTTTAAACTCCTACATTATCAAAGTGTCTTTAATTTCAAAAGACCAAATTCTACAGGAATAGAAAATTGGTGTCAACAGAATGAACGGTGACCGAATACAAGGGGTCATCTCTTCCTTTCCTAGCAATTAGCACGTAGCAGTGACCACTTCAATGGCCCATTTGGAAAACAAATACGGCTGGACTGACTGACTTCAACTGCTAGTAACACAGGAAACACACCTGAATCCCATTCGTAACAGCAAAGCATTAAACCTGTTTTAATTAGCCCCCTATGCACATCAGTAAAATGCGGTGCAATAAATATGAGTGATTATCATAAAAGTCATTCCTGACAGATAGTTTACAGTTATTCTAATAGTCAGTAGCCTGTGGTCTCTTCAGTATCAGTATGCAATGAATGAGAGCATGTACTGATTCCTACTGGAAGACACTGTCACGCATGCTCACACCCAGAGAGATAATAGCTGCTTCTGAAACATTATCAGTATGATAGATTTATTTTTATTTCTGCTATTTCAGCCGACATAGTACCACATGCCTGCAGGAAAATAATTTTTTTAATATTGGAATTGAAATGCACATTTTACTGCTAAGAAGCTGTATCCTTTGAAGGATCTACATACAGTCTGCTGTGAATTTCAGCTCTAATGCCTGTTTCCACCAAACAAATGTATTCTTAAATAAACAGACTTGAATTTTACAAAACAAGAGTTAATGACAGAAGAATTCATTTCTGTATGCATTAAGCTTTAATGGAACTAGCTCTGCTAGTCATGATTGCTCTAAGAAAAAAATCATATTGTAGTGAACATGATTAATGCAACACAAGGACAAAAGTGGCATTGGTATGAATTTCAGCTCCAGTTTTTCCAAGACTTGTGTCTATTTTAACAGGCTTCCATACAGCTGCAAAGTCAAGCATATTTATAAGAGCTTGCAGGACTCCAATAGAAGGGGTCTTTGGAAATGTAAATGAAGGCACACACAATATTGTTAACAAGATTGTTAACCTTTTCAAATCAACATTTCCCAAAGAGTTAAAGTGAAACAAACTGAAAATGCTTGGCCAAGTAATTTTTTGAATATTATTTAAAATAAATTGGAAAATACAACATACACTATATACTTTCCTTTACCAGGAAAAAAAAAATCACTTTCACGCTAAAGTCTATAACCCACTGTAATTTAGAAAATGTCTCTGTCTCAGCAGAGTTGCAAATAAACCATACTGTAGAACCAATAGTGCCAATATATACTGTCATCCCAGGCAAAGGGCCTATATTTCTTGCAGGAATAAGCATACTAACCATAAAGAATTGCACTTGGTGGACTCAGGACAGAGCAAATGTCCAAAGCAAGACATGCCCAAAAGAATGACAGAAAAACATTTTCCTTACAACTGCTTAAATCTAGAGAGAGAAATCTAGTAAAGAGAGGAAGTAAGAGAAGGAAGACTTTAGACGAATAGATACTTTTTTCCCTTTGGAAAGACCAGTTTCTAAACAAAACAAACCTTCCATGTTTGTCTATGTAGACTGAACACAACTCCAGGGCTGAACACTTGGAGAAAAAGCAAGTAGGTGACTACAGAACTATGGGCTACTACCTACTATGGTAGGAACGTAACTCTAAAGACCCAAGCACAGAAAGTAAAGCTCTGTTATCCCTTTTTCCCCCATTGCCAAAGACGGAAATACTAGCGATTTTGGAGGTATATCTATGATGCCAATCAGAACTGTGCACTGAGATGCTGGATTTAAAGACTTCTGAGTTCAGTTGTTCCACAAAGTGGCTAATTAACCCTAGATAACTCAGAAAAGTCATATGGTGACAGCCAACGACACAGGCTGTGTGTAGTCACCCTGGGACCTAGAGAACTTGAAAGAAGAGCAAGAGCTTTGAAAAAATAATTACTTTTAGAATTATTACAAGCAATTTCTCTACCTTTTGTACTATGAAAAAGACTGTAGACTAGTTTTTAAAGGTGACAAGCCTGCCCTTAACCCAGAATCCCCAAACTAAAAAACTAATTTGTGAATTCAAACTTCATTCCTAAACCACTGTATTGAAAAAAAAAAGAGAGAGAATTACAATAAATAACATTGCAATTCCTAACCTATTCTTCCAGTTTCTTCTTCAAGGTAGACTCAAATTGGGAGAGAAGCAATTAATACACAACAGCCAATAACGCAGTTAGAATATGAGGCTATTCATGAACTTAACTTAGGAAAGCATTTAAATCCATTCTTGTTTTCAGGACTTTTCCTAATCCAACACCTCTAAGCAGAGGGATGATATATCAAACAAGTATTACTTGGGCATACAGTGAAGATTTGACAGTTTGTTTTACAAATAGCTGGATTCCACAGCAAGACTTAATCCAGTTTGCATTGAAAATGAGCCAGGTAATTGAAAATGGAATTCTCCATTTACAGCTAAATTGTCTCTACTTCGCTACATCATTCTTGCTGCAAAACAATCACAAGTTGAACTGGAAACATTATGGCAGTACTCACATTCCTGGTAATTTAGAAAGGTTACACAACTTTATTATTCAGCATAAATAATATTCTGGTTCATACATTTATGAAAATATAGTTCTGATTCTTAAATGCTTCTGACCTCCCTCACTATGATACACATAGGAAGCGAGCAGCTATGCAGCTCTAAAATACTCTCTCTCATTTCTATGACTTATGAATTAAAACTATTATTTTAAATGTTTTTATTTGCTCACATATGAAACTCATGAACAAATGACTAAATAAATGTGTTCTTCGGGTTTGATTAGTTAACCAAAAATTCCAAGATGCAAAAGCTGTTCTAGGTCATAACCATTCTCAGGACTGGATTTTTCCCCAAGGATTTCTTTAAAACTCCATCCAGTGCAATTATAAATAACACACTTCCCCCAGGAGACATTTCCATACACTAACAAGTTATTTTTTCTTAGTTTATCTCTAATGTAATTTCACTCTAGTGTCCATTCTCACATAAGCAATGAGAAAGTTTGGAAACTACACCAACAAAGCATATAAAAGCAATTCAGCAGCCAAGCATGTTGACGGAAAGAGAACCATAAAGGTAAGAGTGAACACTGTAAAGTCACAAAAGCAGTTTCCTAGTTGTCTCCTCTCCAGCATGGAAGAGTCACAGATGCAAATAGATGGCTCCCAAGAAGAAACCAAGTTTTAAAAAAGGGAAGGTAATAATTCCATGCATGCACCTACAAAAAAAAAGCAGCAAAGTTCTCTTAGGAATCGTCTAGCTTTCTATTTCCAGACTTCTACTTCCAGAGTAGGAAGAAAAGCATCTTGTAAGGTGTTATTACAGTCCTGAAAATGTATGAGCCACGACATCTTTCCATCTCTTCTCAAAGACCTATGAAACTACCACAGAACATACACAGAAACTACCATATCGTAATAGATACATGGTACAGTCTATTGCCCTGTCTCAGAGAGCATCTAACGAAAGATGCCACCAAGAGAGATAATATAGAATATCCAGCTTTGTCTATAAGGATTTTCTTCTCTCACAGCTTAATAAGTAGTATCTTGCCTTTTACTCCACATATCCTACAGCTATGGGATATATTTATTTTTCATATTTTTATCATAAATAAAATATATTTATATTTTATGGATATATTTACGTTTTATTCCCTCATGTTCTGTTGCTCACACGAAAAGCAGTCTAGAGGATGTATATCATATCATATGTATGTTCAGGATGTATATCCAGACAGCCACTTTGATAACACTATAGACAAAACTCCTAGAAGTAATATACAAAAAGAGATAAAGCACCTCACTGTCCTTGCTTATATCAACTATAGAAGCAAACATTTGTTACCTAAAAATGATACATATTTTGTAATGTAAAAGCCCTAATCATTATTTAACAAAAAAATACAGGATACCATCAAGAAGATATCCAGTCCCCACCGATGTCAGCTGCAAGACTTCCAACTAACATTAGAGGGAGGTGGATTAGAATTTGATTCCTGTCCTTATCCAGAGTCTGAAAATAAAAAAAAATAAAAAAGGCCTTCAAATGGCTATCAACAACTATGCAGTAAAGACCCAATTCATTTAGAAAACAAAACAAAAGTTATTAGTTAATCAAAAAAGATGACTATATCAGCTTGAAGAGCCTTCAGGTGCCCTCACTGGCAGCTTCCTTGCGGCGTTGCATCCGGAAGTGACGCTCAATATTTTTTGTCACTTCCCTCTGCAAATTTCTGCTGTTTGTTTTTCCAGCTGTTCTGATCCAAGGATGCTGAAGTACTTGTCGTGCTGTGTAGCGCTTCTGAGGATCCACTATCAACAGCCTGGTTATGAGGTCTTTTGCTGCTATTATGAAAGACAGAAAAGGAGAGAAGAGTGACATGAAAATTCAGGCAGTTACACCCACAGAAAACATCCTTCTCATTTTTCCTATTCATTTTACTATAATGATTTTTGTGGCTACCCCGGAGATATCCTAGCAACTAGAATTAGTACTACAGGCAAAAGAGCTCAAATCTCCACCATGACCTTTAATGACACATATCTGCCCTTTAAAAATGGGATTAAAAATAAAAAGGGAAGGCAATTTAATCTGGAAAGAATGCTGCAAGCATCAACTAGATGCTCTCATTCAGAGAAATCAGTGTTGGGTATCTGACTTCTCAAAGAGCATAAAAGTTGTGGAACTCTGGTGAGAAAGAGGTTGGTGTCACAAAACTGTGTTTTAATTTTGCAGAGAGAGAGGGGTTTTAGGATTTTCAGTTTTGAAAAAGTGCATAAAGATACTACTATACCAGCCTGTGGAAGGAAAGACACCAGTAAGTGCTGACCCCATTCATTTCATAGAGAGTTCCGCTGAACAAGGATTTGCTTCTCAGATTATCAGTCTGACTGATTGTGATGCCTTTTTCATGGAGGCAATTCATAAAAGCAAGGTGAGTAACATCCTTGCTCTTGCTCCAGAAAGGGAGTAATCAGTTAAACCAATCACACCCAATATTCACAGACAGCAATACTACCAGAGGACTAAATTCAGATTTGAAACAAACACAGATTTACACAAAACAGACCATGAAGAGTTCACCGAGTTCTTCATACTGTCCAAAAGTTTAATTTAGATGTCCAAAATATTCCAGGGAAGAAGTCTGTCACTTCTTGGGTATGGTATAGATGATGACTCTTACCTGCAGAAATATTGTCCCAGTATGGGGAAAGGAACTCATAATGACCCAGCTGTATGATCTGAAACAGCTCTTCCTGATCACGGTCTTGACTGCGAAAAGGGGGAAAACCGCAGAGGAGAATGTAAAGGATCACACCAGCTGCCCACATGTCAACTTCAAGCCCATAACCTTAGGAAAAAAAGAAAAAGACAAACCACAAGCTGACTATCTTTTACCAAAAGTCCTGCTTAAGACAGAAAAAGTCACAAATGGTAGGGAACTTTTTTATTCCATTCTCCAAGAAACACAGAAGGTTTGCTGAGCTTCCTGAAAAGATGAGGTCAGCAGAAGAATGAGTGGCTGGTACACCATGTTTTCAAGCTGAGCTGTACTGTTAGTTAATAACTGCAGCTCTCACAAAGTCCCTCTTTTCTTAAACACATTTTCTCTCTCATGAAGCCAGTGTCAACTGGAGCCTAATTGAAAAAAAACACAGCTTATATTTGTAAAATAGCGCTTTTCAGATTTCTTTCCAAAAAAGCACTATGAAAGTGCCAAGTTTCCATTGAAATGAAACATAACTGGAGATGCGCAATCCAGCTCCGAAGAACAAGAAACAGAAATAGCTTTGCTTGAGTCATCAACAGAACCGACTCCTTTCCAAGCCTGAATGTTCTTGGATATGAAATTGCCAAATCTTCTTCTAATTTGAACTACATTTATTGTATTTGTGGGATTTTTTTTTCAGTTTTTCTTTTTCTCTCCCCCTCTTTTTTTTTTTAAAAAAAAAAAAAAACACATAAGCATGGCATACAATTTCACAATCATTCTGCATCATTATGGGCCTTCGATAATTGTTTGAATTGCAAACATGAAATAGGGGGCGACTATCCTCAGGTTGCTCTTGCTCATTTACTCCATTTCAGCCATTATTATCTATGGTATTTTATGTCTTGCCTGTTTGAAAATGATCACATTAACATTACCATAGACTTTAAAACTGTTCATATGACTGCTGTCATGCCTACGTTTTTCAAAAGCTAAAAGGTTTTCTTTCCGTTCACAGATTGAACCAAGATTGAAACTCTCTTGTACAGACACAGTGAAGGTTGAGTCATTCTAGAATATTTCCATGATTAGAAAGTTCAGAGTAATCATATATTTCTATTTTTTAGTAAATCAGATACACTCACCCTTCTCAGCAAGTATTTCAGGGGCAACGTATGTTGGTGTTCCACACACAGTAAATATGGGTTTTGTAACCTGCTTTGCAAGGCCAAAATCTGCTAGTTTCAGTGTAGTAGATTTATCTGCATTATGCTGAACCTATGCACAACAACAATAAAAAAGACCATATATTTAGTCCAAATCCATTTGAAGACAGGAAAATATAAAGGAAGCAGTTTATAAGCAGAAAGAAGTTTGTCCTGATAGTAACGCTTTCAAGCAAATCAAGTTGAAATGGAAACAGCATTTTGATAAACAGTATTTAGAAAGTTATTTGCATGTACTAAGTGTATATGTTTAAGGAGATAAATAATCACGGAAAAAGAAACTTTGTTCAGAAAACTCTAGCACAGGCTAACTTTCAAGAAAGGAAAACACAGGAGGATGAAAAGTAAAAGAGAATGGATTCAAAGTTCATTTTCTTCTCCTGTGAAAACAAATTTTTCCTTTTCTTTAAAAAGAAGAAATCTGTAAGCTTCTCTATGCTGAAATGCAATACTCCTAGGAAAATCAATAAATCATGGACTTCACAGTGCCACCAAAAAGCATACCTCCCTCACAAAGGTCTAGTAAAAAAAAAAAAATCTTCTTTATTTATTTGCATATTACTCTGCTACTCACTTCCCTAAAAACAAACATGAGTCACAGTCATCCCATATTATGAGCTGGAGAAATAGAACCAAGTGGAATAGCCTCCTAAATGTGTCTCTTGCAGTTCCTATATCCTACATCCACCTGGAAAGTAGTCAAAACTCTTCTCGTGTCTTTAATTTGTAATGTTGTTAATGACAGATTATTTTAAGAAACAAAATATTCAAAGGTCAAGGCATGAACAAGTTAGCCAGGTAATGAAACACACCAGTATTCTTAATACTGGTGACCAATACTCCAACATTCTTTAAGAAGAAAAAGTGTCATGTGGCTTTAAATGAGAGATTGTCCTTCTTCATAATCATGGGCAAAAGAGCTGCAGTGAAGGCTACACGAAGCCCATGGAAATGTGGATTTACAGGTCCTGAAGGACAAGCTGCAATACTATATTTCAGACATACACCATGCTTGATCACTTCACACCTTGCCATCCGATGTGATTTAGATGGCCAAAAATTATATCTTAATAATCTCTGTTATAAGATAGTTAAGGGCACAGATGGGACAAAAATTGCTCTGCTACATTACAGCCAAATAATCCCCCTACTTGCCTTTTTTTTTTTTTTTTAAGCAATTATAAACACTCTTCTAGTTTCCATCCAAAAAAAAGTTTTGGGGGGATTGTTATTTTCCAAAGAAAAAAATAGTTTTCAGTGTGAAACTGAAAATAAAGTTCACCATAGGCAGAAAATAAAAACTTTCGCTGGAAAACAGTAAAAATGTAGTAGGCATCTTCTTTTTATTTAAGTAGACAACTTCATGACGTTTTGTCATGATGTGCTGTGAACACATCATCAGAGAATTTAGATAGAAAACATATGGGAAATAGCAGTAGTGTGCTAAAAAAAAAAAATCCCAATCCCACCAAAGGCAGCAGGGCACATCTTGTTGCCTTGCTTTGTGAAATTCACTGTTAGGGTTTTTCTTTTATCAGGGCACCGAAGTCCACTCTCTCAATAGAGCACAAGGTGGCAACACTGCACTGCCTGTTCTTTCAGAGGAAAACCAGCAGACTTGCACTTCACAAAACAACCAAACGTAGGAACTTTTCACAGCTTAGTGACAACTGTTTCAAGGAAAGCGTGTAGCTGCCCGCAGGCCTCAAAACCTCAGCCCAGGGCCCCTCAGTAGCTTCAGTAACACTGTACTTGGAACAGCGCAGGTGTGGCTCACAACGCACAAGCTCAGATAAGGATCCAAATCCTTGCGCACTGCAGTCTGTCCTTTCCTTTGCCTGGCAGCAGCAAAGCATGCAAATGCTTTTCAGCACAGAAACGTACACACCACTCTGAAACAAAAGGTTCCTGGGTCGCTTCTGTTTCTTCTAAAACCAAGTATTTACTCCTAGCAGCATTACAGAAACCCAGAGCCTGCCCAAGAGAAATCTAACCATGCCTCCCTACAGGGCATGCTCTGCAAAGCCAGTGTGAAATGGTGCTAACAGAACAAAAATGGTAACATTAGATTATTATACTAGTCCTACTGTGGTATCTAAAAAGATACCTGTTACAGCATCTGCAGAGGAGACAAGGAACGGCTCCAAAAGCCCATTTGGAAGTCCTGCCTTGTGTCACCTGCCTACAGAGACAGGGAGGAACAGTACACTTTTATAGTGTACTTCAGTGCACTTTCTGTAGGCGGACAGTTTAGCCATAATACCTATTGGTGTCCTTCAATTACAAGGGAAGGGCCTGGCAGCCTTGGATTGCAGGCAGACAAAACTGCTCACCACTTTCTTGAATGCAGATGCCATAGTGGGATATCTGAATGCTGTTTGGGATTTCTAACTAGGCCAGCCGTGCGTCTAGATTTTAATACTGCCTTCTCTAACAGGAAGCCACATTCACCTTCAACGAAAGTGCAAACTGATCCCTTTTCTTTCTCCTGCCTGCTGGTGACAGCTACCACCTCATCTCCCAGTGTCATCGCATTGACATTGCTAAACTCAACAGGATGTTTAAGGTGGTGATTTACACAATAAATATTTCTCTGTGAACAAATACATAGGGTAACACAGATTCTTCACAGACATCATGATAGCAAGCTATTCCACAGGACTACATTTATATTAGAAAGACATACTCATTTCTCAGAAAGTGCTTCTTATATACTTGAGTTTCAGGCTTTCCTTGCTCACAGCTAAAAGAGAAAAATCCTTGTGCAGGCTTATTATAGTGAAAGCTTCTGACAAGCAACCGGTTAAGTAGGATTTTAACTGCATTTTAAATGCATTTGGAAACCTCTCACAGTGCTTTGTGCATTTGTAGACAGCATTATAAAACCAATGTTAAATAACAGAAAAGCTAAATTTGAAGTTCTCATTCATATATGAGAACTTAGAGATAAAGGAGAAAAAAATGAAATGCATGAAAATCTATTACACCTACAATATTATTTTATAAAGCCCAATATTGAATGCAGATTGCTGGCGTATTTTAGAAGCATCAAGGAGATAAGTTTACAATCACTGATAAAACAGGGGCAGTGATGCAACTTTAGGTCTTTTACCGCCATAAACTGGAAAAACAACCACCTCCCTTTGAAATAAATTTCTAACCCAGCACTCAGGAAGTGACACTTCCAGTGGAATTAAGAGGTCCTTTAGCCAAGAATCTTGTCAGAAAAGAAGCATTGAAGAAGTTACCAACTTCTTTTGTGGGGCCAAATACACCCTCCTGCTCGTCTTTGATAGCAATAGTTTTATTGTTAAACATCTCGTCCTCAATCAGGTGACTGTGCTGGCTGACGGGAGCAGCAGAGCAGCTGTCTTCACATGAGCTGTCAAGCAGATTTTGTTTTTGTAGCACAGTCGCCACCCTTTTGCCTCAACTTACATTGTAAGGAGCATGGAAGTTCCTGGAAGCCACAGCAGTGAGAGGGGAGGGAGGGAACAAAAAAGGCCAACCATGGACTGATACAGAAGTTTGTAACTAGAGGATGGTTCTATGAGAGGAGCAAGAGTGAACTCATAAAACCAGGTTTCCAACTCCATCCTGTGTGAATAACCTTAAGTTTTATTAGAGTGCACTTCATCAGTCAGCAAAGTGTATTTTCACCTTTCCTTCTATGAGGGGCAGAAACAGGGCTTTCCTTCTTTTCCGAGCTGCTTATTTTCATCAAACTTGTAGAAATATTTCTTTCTCAGATTGCTGGTCTGTCAACATTGAAGTAGATTAGCTAGTAGGCTCAAAAGTCATTAGGAGCAGGATTAGATTTTCACACATAGAGGGTTTGTGGAAGACACACACATTGCCTTGGGGGAAGAGAGGGAGAACAGGAAAGGTGGTGCTTCATGATACTAGCACTTCGAGCACTGCACTTCCCCTCCAGTAGACGACCCACAGCCCGACCTACCAACACTGGATGAACCCATTAATTTCATTCAACACTTGTTACCATTCAGGTGCTTCACCTGCACTAGTATAATTTCAATAAAAAGGAAGGAGCAGAGCCTACTTCGTAATGGAAAGTTCTTCTTGTCTCTTGGAACCTTCAGTTCCGAGTGAAGCTTTGCTCTCACATCAGATCACAGAGCATGAAGGCCCTAGAAACACAATTCTTTCTGCAAACCGGCAAGTTGCACTCGCCATCATTTCTTTACATGCAGCCCAGATACCAATAATGATCTTAAGACTATTCAGGTTATATAGCAGGAGCTAGTATACATACCACTGGATGATTAAAGGCTTCAGGAGCAAATCTTTCATACTCGTCCTTTCCAATCTCTGCTTATCCTACAGGTTACACTGCCTTTTTTGTCCAGTAATTCTTAGTGATAGCTTCCCAATATTAATTCCATTAAAGAACAGAATGGCACATAAGACCAAATTGCCTATAGCCCATTTTTGCCTAGCTGTTATATTCCACCAGCAGATCAAATTACATTTGCAGATACTTGCTCCCTGTCTAGTCTGAGTTTTGGAAGCTTAGTGCAAAAGCATACGACATATGATTGGCAAGGGAGCTCATGTGAGTAGCTCAACTGAACTTCAATGCTGAACGCAAAGAGTGTAGCCTCGGAAATGTGTTGGAAAAACAAATTTAGCTTTTTGGCAGAAGAGTTGTACTTGGGCTGACTTTAGTGCTCAGTGATCTAATTCACCGAAATACACATCTTGCGGTTTCAGGTTATTTCAACCAATTGCATCTTACTGCTGCTCTTGAGAAACAAAATCACCACAAGATAGAAACTGCTGCAGGAGGGGGACTAGCATGTTGGCCTGCAGAACGCGACTTCAGTGGACAAAGAGCTTCAAAATAGTAAGCTAAATTGGCAGTTTTAACTAATTTTGATCTGCAAGGGAAATGCCTTATGATTCAGTGCATGCTTCATGCAAAGTATTCAAGCTTGGGTACCTAAAAGCCAGATGCTAAATAACAGATTTTATTTCCAGAAATATGCAAATATTCACTATGCATGAGAGTCAGGTCACTTTTTAGTATGAACTTCTATCTATGAACACTAGTATCAGCAAATACAAGCAAAGCAAACTCCAAGGCTACTTTCACTTCAAAACTCTATTGTTTTTTCCCCAGGCATTACTGCTGCAGTGCCTCTTCTCTGCATCACATTTTCTTAAGAATTATCCAAGGATCCAAAACAAAAAGGAAAATAAATTCAACCCTTGCACATTCAGATTGCGAGTGCCAATACTTACCAGAAGATTCTCTGGTTTGAGGTCTCTATGAACAATGTTTTTGCTGTGAATATAAACCAATGCCTCACACAGGTCAGAGATCATGACAGCAGCATCGTGTTCTGTGAACTTCACACTTTCTATGATTGCATCAAATAAATCCCCACCTGGGACATACTCCAGGATTAGATAAATCTCAGCCTCCGTTTCATACACCTCAATTAAGCTTACTATATTGGGATGAGAAAGACTCCTGATGATCAGAATCTCACTTTCCATCATCTCCTCTTTCCCCTTTAGCTTGGACTTATCAACAATTTTCATGGCATAGATCTCATGGGAGATGCAATGGCGACATTCCTTCACCACTGCAAAATTCCCATCCCCAATGGTCCTGCCAATCTCATAGTGGTTTTCCACATCAGTTCTGCTTTTAATAGCATGCCTCTGGCTTGTGTTTTCCAGTCCCTGGGCCTTGCTTTCCTCTTTATTCATTCTGCGCTCTCCTGCTTTTTCTGGTCGTCTCACATCATTCTCTCTGTGTAGGATATCTCCCTCTCTTCTGGCACCCTCCTCTTTAGTCCTTGGCCCTTCTCTGCCTTCCCTAGGTGTTTTTGATAGTTTCCCTGCATCTCTTGGAGTATCTTTCATTAGCCAACCACTCTGGTTAGTTACACAGCTACTTCCATTCTCTTCCTTCACTTCATGAGTTACCTGCCGTGCTTCTACAGCAGTCTTCTTGATTTTTACTACTTCTTTCTCATGGTTTTCATGCCTCTCTAGACCCCTTTCCTTCTCAGTGCTCCTTTTTTGCTTTTCCAGTTCCTCACTAATGTTCCTGTGCAAGTGCTTCCATGTCCTCCTACTGCCATTATTCTTCAGTCCGAGTTCCTCAGCTTCTAGAGGAATTTCTGAAGATTTTCGGCAATTCCCGACTTTCACATTTCTTTCTACATGGTACCTCTGACACGTGTCTGTGTTGAGGTCTCTGTTCTCAAATGAGGTCTCAGCCTGCCTTTCCCTTTGTAACTTTTGTCTGGCCTGCCTTTCCCGTTCGCACTTCTCACATCTCATTACTTCCTCTGAACTCTCCTCTGCTCTTTTCTCAGGACTTTTCTCTTGGTTACAGTACCACTCGCCTTCTCGGCCTTTTCTAGAAGGCTTCACGCCCTGATCACCATCCCAACTTTCTCTAGTCCATTTTTTTTTGGTTCTCATCTTTTCCTCTTGCCTTGTCTTGGCTTGACTTTTTCCTTCACATCTGGCTGCCAGTTTGGGAGACAAGGGATCACCACAGTTCTTGGCAACTTCTGTCTCATCAAAGCCGCTGTCCACTTTTGAAGCCTTGTCATACAGCCTGCTCTGCAGTTTTTGGGACTGCTCCTCATTCTGAGGAATTGCACTGCCAGCGTAAGGATTATCTGGATAAAGTTCTTGTATTACTAGTTCCAAATTCTTCAAAGTGAGTGGCTCCCTCCCCATAGCAACGAAGGCATCACCTTCCCTAAAGAAGTCAGAAACACTTCGGATTTCTCTACCTCTCAGGTTGTAAAGCTTTCTCACACGGTCATTCTTCCAGCGTGGAAATCCCAGAGCTTCTGAAATGTCAGCTATCAGCTGTTCAAAAGTCTGCACTGATCTTCTGTTCAGAAGCAAGGTTATCCTTCTGAGTGTGCGTCCATTGGGTTTCACCACAGTAACTATCCTGGGCTTCACGGGGCTTTGCTCTGAATGAATCGTGTGAAAACCATTCCGGGGATTGAAAAATGGTGAACTGTAACTATGCGCGCTCAAACATAATTTTCCAAAGTTTCCTCTACCAACAGAAGAGGTCCCTTGTAGTTTCCTTTCCTTTACTTTTGAAGTTGCGTTGTGTGACGTGTGGTCTAACAAACCTCGGTGCCCTAGAACAAACAAACAGCAGAAATATCATTCATTACCCATCACCATATCTGGTGATAAGTGTATTCCATGTGTTAGTTTTCATGGTCTCAAAGTTAGGACACATGCATGCAATGTTTATAAAACACTTAAACTGCCACTGAGGAGTAACTCCATATACAGAGAACATTAAGTAAGTCAGAAAATACATACTTCAAAAATATACACTTCGGGACTGAGAAACATTAACCAGAGAAATATATTGGAGACAAATAGCTCTCATCGGCTTCCAGAAGTCCTCAGATGTAGGATTAATCGTGCTAGGATTGTCTCCAGAAGATTTAGCATCGTATAACTAATGCGACTTCCATAAATCCCCTCCAATAAAGCCCCTCCCTTCCATTTTGAACCCAATTGCAATTTTTACCTCTCCAACTCCTGAAGCAAGAGGTTCCACAATTCAATTGCACAACATGAGAGAAATTTAGTACTTTTGTTTTAAAACTGCTACCAGATGGCTATTTGTATAGTCTTGTATTCTTAAAATAATTCTCTTGCTATTCACTTTTCCTGGGCCATATATTTACTTTTGAAAATAAGTAAATTTAAAAGAGAGAGAAAAGGATATCACTTAAACAAAAGTACTTTTGCTATAATTTTATAATAAAGTTTGTAGTGCAATTCATAACATTTTTATTAAAGACTCTCTCCTGTTTGATATTGAGTCATGGCTTTCTGACATTGTGCTTTGACTTTTTTTTATTCTAAAACATGTGTAAAAGAAAAAAGTCCTGAATCCTTCTCAGGAACATTTACAGTTTTCCCAGAAGAATTTCTTCTTGCAACAGTAATCAACAAAGAAAATGGCACTATTCTTCACATGTAATTCCATAAAGAAAGAACTGAAAACGTGATACATAGTCATGGCCAAGCCAAGTTATAACATAAGTCAATGTACATATACAGAACAATGTGCTAAAAACAAAATGTTATCTTAAATACTCCGATTTCTTGTACTCCTTAAGATTATAACTTGGTTACGATAGAACTTTCGCCCTTCCTCAAAAATAGTGTATCCAAAAGGCAACACGGCATCCGAGAAGGAAATGCGTGACACAGGATGATGATGGAGGCTCCTGAAACGCAAACCTCACAGCTAAGCGCTGCGTACCCTTCTACGCTTCCCTTCACTCTTGTCTCCTTCTTCTCCCTTCTGCCAAGTGAGAGGGTTTTGGTTTTTTTTTCTCTTTTCCCCCAAGTAAATATTACAAAGAAGCCCAGCTGTCAGTATGGTGACTGAAGACGTAAGCATTATATAAGAGCTGTGCGTGACTAGTGCTTGGTTGTTGTACTGGAGTAGGATATTTCTGTCTTCATTCTACTTTTTAAAGATGATCTCTTGTTATTACAAAATGACTACATACGTGCTAGTGATTTGTCATCATCAGGAATTTACATTCTACACAAAACAAAAGCCTACTTTGAATGGAAGTGGGAAAAAAAAATACAGACGTACTAATAGTTCCCTGAAATCTAAATGAATTCCAGAATACGTTGGTTACCAGGAACTGCTCAAGCTCTGAATCTGATGAACATTTCCAGATTCTTATGTATAATCATCCAAGCATTACCTCTTTATGGGAACAGTGCACATTTTTGAGCTTACAATTTTGGTGCAGCATAAAAAAAATGCACTGCTAATGCACTGCACTAATAATGACTTTTCCCACAGCTTATATTGCTGCCAGCTGTGCTGCTATTATCACACCTTTCTGCAAACACAGTCATTCATTTTAAGTGCCTGGCTGCACTCTTAATTGTTTCAATTAACCGAGTATGGATAATGTTTCCTTGCTTTACTAAATCAGTTAAGCTTTAAACAGAAAATAGGTTTAATTTTTCTCTGTAACTAATGGTCTGTAAGCAATTGTATTTCATTAATAAAAACAATCCAGTGAAGTGTTTTTATACATTTTAAATTGGTATAATTCCCAGTCAAAAAGTTTGACATAAATCATCAATTTAAAAATAATCATTTGAAGAATAAGAAAGAATCTCAGTTTTTTCTAATATGAAAAAGGAAGTTACATAAATACTTAAATGCCTACAGATATCTCCTAAACTTTGTTGAAGAAAGGAAGTGCCAAATTTTATCAAAGTGGTCAAAATAAGTAATTATAAATACCACATAAACTAAGAAACTAATTTCATCTGCCTGTGGCAGCCACACACATTAGTTTTTTTACTGTTAAGATGCATTTATTTTACCTGATACATTCTTATTAAATATGAAGCCATCCCCAGTCTTTCCTGAAAGTTCATATATCTCTAAAGCTGTAACAAACATTTATAGAGAGCTGTGAAAGATCATGGGCATATACGTACACAATCCTATAGCTACCATTTACATCACTTTGCAGTCTTGTTTCCATATTTATATTAAAGTAGGAGGAAGGGGGAAGATGGGAATCAGAAACACATTTCGATGAGTTGGAGTACTGTTAAATAATAAACTGGTGAAAGAAAAAAAAGACTGGAAAACACTTCTTTATTTCTTTTAATATCTTACTGAGAGCTAATGGTTGAAAATAATCTAAATGTTTCTTGTAAAAACTAGTATGTATGAATGCAGGAAAGTCTATTTTTACCCATATGTGCTTCTATCTATCCATGTTTGTGCATGTATCACCAAATGTCAGCATACAGGATGATGCAGGAGCTGAAGGAGGCAGAAAGCCGTGGGAGAGCACCAAGGCAGAGGAGGATGCCAAGGATGCTGCTGTGGAGGGGAAGCAGTGGGGCCGCCTGGCTGCTGCAAGGCACCTCGCGTCCCACCCAAGCTGCGCACAGCAGCACTGAAACACAAAACTGGGACCTGCAGCAAGATGCAGAGCTCGGGAGGAGGAAGAACACGCAGACACGGAGAGGGCAGAGGGCTCACACCCAGCACCAGCCACACAGAGGTCATGCACTGTCGCTGCAATTCACAATATACCGCTGGTATTTGCCCTTCAAAACTTATCCTGTCCCTTGACCAGTCCTCAAGTCTGTACATATTAAGTATTTCCACTCATCTCATATTCCTTCTTGGCTCTCCCTCTTGAGATCACAGTTTCAATAATTAACCAAATGGTTTACCCAGCAGCCAATTCTGGTAGCAAGTCATAGGTTGCAGCAGAATTAATTTTTTACAAGGAGTATTACAATGCAACTTAATTTTGAAGAAAACACTGAAAAGGGATCTGGTTACAGCACCATTTTCTGTGAAGATGGTTTTATTTAAACCCTGCAATCTAGAGAGCCTTGAATCAATAAGAAAGCCCTCACATGAAAAAAAAAAAAAAAGTTCTGAAAGGAACCCAAAACCTTAGTAGGGTAATTCCTAAAAGTAAAATTGCACCTAACAGAAATGGTGTAACTGATGCAACTTTCAGGGCTAGTGCACACTGTCGGTGCCCAAGGCTGAAGAATTAGTGTGACAAGTCTGGTGAAGGTACTAAATTAGCTGCATGGAAACAATATATGATCACAGGCATCGTTTCACAGCGAGTAAATTTTACATGGGCATCATTTACAGCTCTGCTGCTGGAAACAGAGGCCTGTCAGGCCAGTTTGGAACATACAGGACATCAGGTGTGGTTTCTCATAGCATCCCCTAGGATGGTTGCTGACTCTTCCTTTAGAGGAACTACTCCTTTGCAGCTTATAATACTTCCAAGTTTCAACTATTTAGGCTAAAATTTAGTACACCAATAACTGCTTAAAGTTGATTTTTCTTTTGAAATCTCAGGTGAATTTATTTAGTCTTTCTAGGAAAAAGGCTAAATTAAAAATTACTGTTTTACTAGGTTCAAAATCACTGATGAGTTTCTTTCCACCCTCTTTCCTTCCCTCCTGTTCACCCTTGCCTCCTTGCAATGCCTTCCAGACATTTAGAGCAGAGATTTTGTTTGAATTGGGATGGACCTTTACTTCAACAGCACCAGAAAACAGTCAGACTATGTCAATTTTATCCCTGTAAAATTCTACATGGAAAAAGAAAGTCTAATTTCATACGACCTCTGTAAGTGACAATGCCAAACTCAGCGGGAAAACTCCTGCTAGGTTCCAGCCTGAGCGAGCTCAAAAGGCTCACGCAGATCAGAGGCTGCTGAGGGGCAGCCCAAGCTTCAGAAGTGTCTTCTCCCTTGGCACCGTTCCTGAGGCACGCTGATAAGAAAAGGCTGGGCAGCTGAATCAAAACTTTGGGATAATTTACAGTGGCTGGAGGTTCTCTGAAGTCAGGCAAAGGGAGGTGAGTGGAAGTGGCTTGTCAAGAGGGAGGGTGGAGAACACACACAGCACAAGGGCCTGGCCAGGAGGAGTGCGGACTCCGGACAAACACGTGCGCAGGCAGGTAAACAGGACAAGGGAGGCGAGATGCTGCGCTGTGCTCCTGTGTGTTGTGACACACAGGCTGGCACCTGAAAAGAGACCGGGACAAGGCATTACCTGAAAAACAGGAGATGCGGAGCCCTGGCAATGTGGCCAAAAATGAAAGTTGACGGGGGAAAGGCAATGAGAGAGCGGGGAGGAGCTGAGACAGGAACCTGGAACTTGCTGGGTGAGAACAAGAGGGCTGGGAATAGGCAAGGGAACTGAGGGGACACTGCTCTTCCAGGATCACTCTGTTCAGAAGCAGCACTGGCTATAGCAGGGCCAGTGACAAACTGAAATGGGAATGACTGCGGATTTGGACTGGGTGAGACCTAAAAAGTCACAAGTGAGGAGGAAAAAGCACTGGGAAGGACTGCAGGAGATGGAGTAAACATGGCCATATTTAGATACTGGCTGACAGCAATTTCTATGAACTTTGCTGAAAAAGTGGAAGCAGAAAGAGACTGGAAATGGGAATCGGTAAAAGTGAGGATGGGAAGTCAGGCTGGACTCCCAGCTTAACCCAAAGGACAGGACAGGAAG